TTAATTTTATTTAAAAGAAATAGTTAATGGAAATATACAAAAATTATATATTTGTAAAGGGAAAAGAAAATGCAAATGAAAGTGTAAAGAAAAAGATAAAAAATGACTCAAAAGCAATATTAACTAAACCTAGGGTATTTTAATTTCAATTGAACTAATCCTATTTAACTTTATTGATGATTAATTTTAATTATCCCACGCATCGGGTGAAAAATCTTAAATCGTTTGATGATTATCTCATGCATGCCCCCAATTTTTTAAATATATATAAAATTTGTGTTTAATTTAGTGTCAGTTTTTCTATTATTATTTAATTATTTATTATGTAAAAACTAATTTTAATTTTTTATATAATTATTGTAATTTTTTTAATGATTTCCATTAATATATAATTATATTATTGTTATTATATGATAATGTAAAAAACATATGGTAAAATGGCCAACCAAATAATTAAGTTTATATGACTTCGTGATCTTGATGACATCAACGATATAAACGGCTTTTATGCTGGTTGTTGAAACATGAATCCAAGATACCACAAATTATATCGGTTTGATGTTTTTCATGTTGTGAGATAAAATTATCTATTACACATATATAAAATTTTGTAAATACATATGAAAAGAAGAAGAAAAAAAATATGGACCCACATATTTTTATGTGTGTAGGACCGGATAATCCAATGGATTTATCTTTAATGGGTATAATTTTTTTTTACACTATTTTTCAATCATTTTTGAGACATTTTTAAAACTGACATCTTGAACAATATGTAATCACTTAAGTGACACAAATACATTATCAAAATATTGAAATTTTTATGTCCCGCAAAATATAAATTCATTCATATGAGTTTACTTTTAATTTTATGTCGTGAGATCCATATGATTAGTTGTTGTTCTGTATATAAGAGTGTCTATTTCAATATCTCATTCCCATATGTACACGTAATGAAATTGTGGTGAGGATTAACTATCCAAGAGAAGATTAAGTCAAAGACAATGCTCGAGTTCGAGTCTTGAGAATGGAAAAAAAAGATTTGAGAGAGCTGTCATCGAAAAAGTCCGACGGTACTTGATTGAGGATTAGTCTTCGATTACGGCTAGAGGATACCCTTGAGATTACTCAAAAAAAAAAAAAAAAAAAAAAAAAAATTAAGTCAAAGACTCACCACACGAGACCATAGTCATGGAATGAGTAGAATAAGAAATTCGTCCCAATCCAGCTAGATCTCTTGACCTCACGGGTTGTTTTAATTTGCTTCAATATGAAAAGTTCAGTGGTACGTGTATCTCTCTCAACAGATAAGAATGCATGACTGAGGCCTCGTGACTTGATTAACTGTGATCACAAATACCATTGCCACACACATGTTGATAAAGAACACAGTTTGCTGAAGGAGATTAGAGGGTAATGATATAATATAATAAAATTGACAGATAAAATCTGATTTTTTCCATTTTATATCTAATAGTTAGCTAGCTGGTATCGTTGGACAGATGTTATGGGATCTCGATAGTCACACACACGTTGAGAAACACACGTTAATTAACAACATTACTGATTAAGAAAGTGAAAACAACCAGTTTCAGCTCACAATGTGCTAATAAGGACAGTTTTATTACTTGTGTATATATCTGGATTATGGATCCTGTATCTACATTTCAAGATCTAGGACTAGTCACAATCTTTTAGGCCTCATGCCTTCATCCAGTCACAACCCGTAAATTAATAAATAACATGGCTATTTAGAATTATAAATATTCTCTTATATTTGATTTGTCAGGATTTTTTTTTATAAACCACATGTTTCTTCCACGAGAATTTGATTTATCAATATAAACTATGAAAAAGTTTCTTTCTTCTAATTTTTGTATACTCTTAAAATATTTTTTTTTTCATGGGATAGATATTGTTACTACTAAATAATGTTACCACCTATATCACTATCATATCTTAATCGTTGATTTTCGTCAATCAATAATTATTATTTTCACAAATCAAACTCATTAATTAATTATTAATTCGCAATAAATGATAACCGTTGATTGAAAAAAATCAACGATTAAAATATAATAGTGCCATTAATAATAATATTATTTAATAGTAATAATATCATATCCCTTTTAGGTATGTATATCACTTTACATTTATACAGTCCTATTTTATTTTTTATCCCTTAATAGACTCGAGGGAACATGTTATGTGTAAAAAATAATATTCCTAAATGAAGCGCCTATAGTTTTTCGTATATGTTCCTAAAAGCTACGGCAAATAGCACATATGAATGTATGTTCGTTCTCAGTAAGTAGGGTCCTGCGCCTAGGCAAATAAAAGGTTGTATATGCAATGTCACATCGTACATTGGTAGAATCAATAACTGTTTCATCGAAAAGACAAAAAGAACGGGCCATATGTAGCGCCTTCTCATCCAAGAATATGTTTAGGTAGTGTTTGGTTGAAGGTTTATTTTAGGATTGATGGGAAAGTGTAGGTGGATATTGAAAAATATCACGTTTGGTTCAGGTTTTTTCAAGAAATACCAGACAAATAGGATAGATGGGAAAATGACTTTTGTGTTGATTTTTGGATGAAATTCACTGTTACAGAATACCACTTGAGATGTGGTATTGTGAGATGACTGGGGAAGTGAAAAAACAGGTGCAAGGTTTCTCCCGAACATAGATTTTGCATATTTAAATAAATTTCCCTGGTAATATTTGGGTCAACCAAACAACTTTTTTACATTTTCCTATCAAACTCACTTTCCAACCATTTTCCTATCAATTACATTTCCCTAATAAATTTTTTTTTCTCCCGAACCAAACACTACCTTAAGCCTTTTTTTTTTTAGTAAATATTTTTAAGCCATTTTTAGGTAAAGTATTACCCAAACTCAGCCTTTTTGAAGGAAATGAAAGCAGAGCCACAAATTTAAAGGAGTGGTTTGGACCATCAATTTGTTACTAAACAAACTTTCTTGTCTAATCAAAGAAAAGTCTCGTTTAATTATAATATTTTAAAGTGTTGGGAAAGGATTAATGCACTTTGCCACTTTGGACTTTTATGGTGATGAACTTTTTTAGTGGCGAGGGCTGAGGGGCGGAATGTTGAATAATTGAAAGGTGAAAGAGAGAGGGGTTCACGGGCAAGGCTAAGTGAATTATTTTTAATTATTTTCTGGATAATAATTTCTTTCTTCTTAATCTGCCTAGTACTAAGTCTATATATTAATAGAGATAGGATATTATTATTATCAATGTCATTATCATTATATTTCACCTGTTAGATGAATTAAGTTGATCCAATAATTTTGATTTAACTTTCTAAAAATATTCTTTCTTCTTCCTAAATTTAATATTTTATATTATTTTCACAATTATGATTTTTCATATTAATGCTTTCATATTAAATATAGAGAATAATAATTATATAAAGATGAAAATAAATATAATCATTGAATCAACATAATCAATCTAATAATGAAATAAATTAATAGCGATATTAATAATAACACTAATCGATAATGACAATATTCTATCTCATACTCATAATAGTATGATACTATATATGATAATGAGTTGTTTATAAGGTGGTGGGGTTAGTCGAGAAGTTCACGGGTTTTCCTCTATGACACTGAATCACATATCGTCACATTTCGTTTAACCTTCTATGGATTTCTATTTTAATAGTCATCATTTTCTAGTTAAGTCCTTTTTCAGTCAATACCAGCCGATGATGTTGCTCCAAAAATCTTAACTGATAATGATATTTTCCTGAGAAAGACTTTCCCTCAATTCCTAGGTGAAATCACAATGATTATTTATCTTACAAAGAAGATTTCATTACATTTAAGCAACTCTTACAGTTTTCAAGAGCTTAAGAACGTTTGGTAGAGGAGACTTTTTTTTTTTTGTCTGAGAATCTCAATTTTTAAAAATATAATTTTTATATTCAGTTTACAATAATATTTGAAAATTTAAAATTTAGAAAAATTCAGTTCCCCGAAAATCTGGCTAAAATCCTTGTACCAAACGTCTCCTAAGATTAATGACTTGGTCAAATTGCAAAGAGATGGAAGGTTTCGTTGGTTATGAAGCATTTTGAGTTGGAAATGATTTTTCTAGATTTGTTGATAAGAGGGATAAGGTAATCATAACATATGAGAATTTTTAGTAAGGGTATAATTGTATTCAACTAATCCTTGGATTTAAAGATACAGAATAAAATTGATGCCCTTTTCAGATTACAGTTTCGAATGATTTGGTTGGTTGAGCATCATGAAATTTCAGCCACAAATTTGAGGACCCAAAGGGACCATTACTTTGTTAATTCCCAATCCCTTGTGTCCTTTTATGTAACTACAAAACCCTACGGGTGTGTACTTACAATTACATCATTACCCTCTAGGCTTAATAAAAAGTAAAAGAATCCGTAGTTAATGTTCATAAAATACACAAATTGAATATTCCGTACTAGTACAAAGCAACTTGGCATATACATTTCCTATTTGCAATACATAGCATTCTCTAATTTCTAGTTTTGCAATGTTAAGTAACTAATCCAATCATGCAGAGTCTGCATTGAACATGTCTATAATGTTTGGCCGTGCATCTAAACAATGAGAAACCAACAATATCAATTTTATTTTATTTTTGGAAATACCACAAGTATCTTCCACGGAAGGTAATTCTATTTGAGACGGTTCAGGATTAAGACTTTAACCCCTTTCAAAAATGTTATTGGGGAGGATCGAATACATACTCTTACCCAACACCTACTCAGCTCTGATATGTCAATTGAGCTACCATCATTTGATAACAATATCAACTTAAAGTATTATATGTTATGTCAGTTTGGTAGAGAAATAGCAAGAACAAGTGCACGTGAATTATGTATAGACGACAAGTTCGAGGACCTCAATGTCTTTGTAGTGAAATCCCTTGGTGGTACTCACTGTTTCATAGGCAGTAGCTGAGGCCAAAACCGAGGATTAAAAAATTAATATGGGAATAGAAAGCAAGGGAACCAAATGGGTTTGGAAATAATAAGCGAGTAGAAGAAAGAAAACATAGAGACAGATTGAAACAAATAGCAAAAAAAAAAACAGAAAAAAAAAGGGAAAGAACCTTTTCAATGAAGAAACAAGGGTGTGAGATTGAGGCAATAGGCATCAACTACAAGATCCACACACAGACAACAAAGCAACCTTTTAAAATCTTCAGCAAATCTCCACAACTGAATAGCCTAGATGGTCTTCAGGAACCAGCAGATGAAGCAAAAGCTAAACAAAGACCATGCAATGGAGTTAGGCATGTCCTCAAGGATGTGAACTGCTTAGCCAAGCCATGGGAAATTCTGGCAATTGTTGGGCCAAGTGGAGCTGGAAAATCATCCCTGCTTGAGATTCTTGCTGGTAAAGTTAATCCACAAAGTGGGTCCATCTTGGTGAACCAGAATCCTGTAGATAAAGCTCAGTTCAGGAAGGTTTCAGGGTATGTTACACAAAAGGATACCCTTTTTCCCTTACTTACAGTTGAAGAAACCATGATGTTTAGTGCAAAGCTAAGGTTAAATCTTCCTCAAGAACAACTATGCTCCAAGGTTAAGTCACTGATTCAGGAGCTTGGCCTTAGCCATGTTGCTAGGTCTCGAGTTGGAGATGAAAGGGTACGAGGAATATCTGGTGGCGAAAGGCGCAGAGTTTCCATTGGTGTTGAAGTCATACATGATCCAAATGTGCTGATTCTGGATGAACCAACTTCAGGACTTGACAGTACCTCAGCTCTTCAAATAATTGATATGCTTAAAGTCATGGCTGAATCTAGAGGAAGAACTATAATCCTAAGTGTACATCAACCCGGGTTCAGAATAGTGAAGTTGTTCAACTCAATACTGTTGTTAGCCAATGGCTATGGGTTACACCATGGCACTGTGGATTTGCTGGGTGTGAATCTAAGGTTAATGGGTTTAGAACTTCCTCTTCATGTTAATGTAGTTGAGTTTGCCATTGAATCCATTGAGACCATTCAGCAACAACCGAAATGTCAGCAAGTGCATATAGAAGTGCCACGACAATTACCATGGCCAATGCAACAAAAGAAAGGTGATGGTCATCAAGGTGAGAGTAGAAGTGGTAAGTTTACTCTGCAACAGCTTTTTCAACAATCCAAGGTAATTGACATAGAAATCATCAATGCGGGAATGGATTTCACTTGTGATTTTGCTAATTCTAGATTAAGAGAAACTATGATTCTCACTCATAGGTTCTCCAAAAACATCCTTCGTACAAAGGAGCTCTTTGCATGTAGGACAATTCAGATGCTGATTTCTGGGCTGGTTTTAGGCTCAGTCTTTTGTAATCTCAAGGATGGTCTAGAGGGAGCAGAAGAAAGGGTGGGTCTATTTGCTTTTATATTAACGTTTTTGATATCAAGCACCGTTGAAGCTCTACCAATTTTTCTGCAAGAGAGAGAGATTCTAATGAAGGAGACCTCTAGTGGAAGCTACAGAGTTTCATCCTATGCTATTGCCAATGGCCTAGTTTACTTGCCATTTCTACTCATACTAGCCATTTTATTCACAATGCCTTTATACTGGCTTATTGGTCTCAACAGGAATCTCACGGCATTTTTGCACTTCTTGTTGCTAATTTGGTTAATTCTTTATACAGCAAATTCGGTTGTGGTATGTTTCAGTGCTCTGGTGCCTAATTTCATTGTTGGGAATTCAGTGATAGCTGGTGTCATCGGTTCATCTTTCTTGTTCTCTGGCTACTTCATATCAAATCATGAAATTCCGAATTACTGGATTTTCATGCATTATATATCTATATTTAAGTATCCCTTTGAAGGGTTCATGATAAATGAGTTCTCCAACTCAAAGAAGTGCTTGGAGTACATGTTTGGGGCATGTGTGATGAGGGGAGAGGATGTGCTTAAACAACAAGGGTATGGAGGGGAGAGTAGCAGATGGAAGAATGTTGGGGTGATGGTATGCTTCATCTTCGTTTACAGGTTCATTTCTTATGTAATTCTTAGGTACAGATGCTCGAAAAATGTCATCCTCTGAAAACTATGGTTACTCTCTCTCTCTCTCTCTCTCTCTCTCAAGGGGATTCACATGTCTTGGATTTTTCTGCAGATAGCATAAAAGAAGATATATAATCATATCAACAAAAAAATATATATATAAATTTTTTGTCTGTGCCAACAAATTGTACTAAAATGATATTATGTTGGTTTGTGTTTTCTATGATTACTTAATTGACACCATTATCTCTCTCTTCATCATCAAGATTCCTCTTCCCTCGTAATTTTCTTTTTCAATACAAGCTTGCTGCCCAATACCCGAATTCACTAGTTTTGTTCCCAAAAGTAGTGGAAGGGAGATGCTATAACACACTTGAGCTTTTCAACGTTCGATTGTTTCAACCGTGTGATGATTTTTTTTTTTTTTTTTTAGGATCAGCAAAATCTTTTTATTATGGAAAAAGAATTTAAGGATCGTAAATGATACAAAGTCATATCATTTAAAATGAAAATAATAATAGTTGATTAGTGGAAATCAACAATTAAGATATAGTAGTAATACTGGTGGTAGTAACATTATTTGGTAGTAACAATATCCTATCCCAATATTTAATTAGATATGTGCTATCTCTCGCTAGCTGTGTATTTCATACCCGGAAGGTATGGTTGTACTTGAAATTAGGCTTACTGTACAAGCCTGGGGAAAGGCTCTTACTTTAGTTACTGTATAACCCTATTTTCACTCTGGGAGAGATGTTATCAAACACTCAGGGGTTTGGTTGAGGAGAAACTTTTTGAATATTGGGAAAATGTAATTGATAGGGAAATGGTCGGAATGTGAGTTTGGTAGGAAAATGTAAAAAAAGTTGTTTGGTTCACCGAAATATTACCGGGAAAATTTATGTAAATTTGCAAAATCTATGTTTGGTTAAAGATAAAATAGTGATGGAAAAATTGATTGAATTGACCAAAATGACCCTGTTGTAAAAAAAATTAAAATAACCACCGTATACAAGTGAGTGTTGTACCATATCTCACCCCAACGCCCATTGGTCAGTGATCAGTGATCACTGTATCAAGGTGGAAAGGAAATTAGGAGTTGGTGAGAGAGCGTGGAAAAAAAGACGAAAGGAAGCAGAGACGTGAATGGATTTGCAACCATAAGGACAACAAATGGGTAGCAGGTGATGTTGGGGTCATAACAGAAACTGAGCAAGATGCCCAGAATTCTCCTACTCCAACTTGAGCACTCTGAAGCGAACGATATTGCCATTTACTGGGGTCAAGACTTCTTTGAGGGAAGCCTTACTGAAGCATGTGCAACTTGATCAGAGGGCTCTGCAATATAAAGAGGAAAGCAGTTGTGACAAGTATGTGGGAAGCAGTAAGCACAAGGGTAGTTTTGGCACCATCCATTTTCATAGTTTTTGCTTAGCTGGGTATCCATGGAATACCACCGTAGAAATAGGATTTCATTGCCTTAGTTTTGGTCCAATTTTGCACAGAAAACTTAAATGCTAGGCAAATCAGTTAGGTAGGGAAATTTTGGGAAACCTTGTCCCAAACGTGGAGAACCAATTTATCCACCTTTAGATGCCTAGCAAAGTTTTGAGATACCTTCTACCAAACACACCCTCAAGCTTTCGTGAATACCAAACTTACAAACCTTAAAATATATATAATAAAGGGATTGGATATTGTTACTACCAAATAATGTTACTACTATATCTTAACCGTTGATTTTCCCCAATCAACGATTATTATTTTCACAAATTAAACTCATTAATTAATTATTAATTCGCAATAAATGATAATCGTTGATTGACGAAAATCAACAGTTAAGATATGATAGTAACATTATTTGGTAGTAACAATATCTTATTCCTATAATAGGGATATGATATTGTTACTACCGAATAATGTTACTACCAATATTACTACTATATCTTAACCGTTGATTTCCGCCAATCAACGATTATTATTTTCACAAATTAAACTCATTAATTAATTATTAATTCGTAATAAATGATAATCATTGATTGACAGAAATCAACAGTTAAGATATGGTAGTAACATTATTTGGTAGTAACAATATCCTATCCCTTAAATATTAACATCAGAATGAAAAAATAGAGAAACCTTTTGAGAATAGTCTCTACTCACATATACCTGCTATTCCTTTTTATTGTAGTTTTGAAATCCCTGAATGGTAATGGCCAAATGCCCATGTCATATACAGGATGCGGTATTCTGTAAAAGTGGTGCTTAACCTTTTCGAGCTCATCTTTCTGGCAATCAAACTTTGCATATTATCAAAATCAATGAATAATGAGTTTAACTGCAACAAAGTTAACAGATTGAAAGTATCTACCTTAGTTGCATTGAAGCAAGTCGTACCAAAAACTGAGGTGTGCATTCAAGGCTATATAGCTGTGTATTAGCTTATACATTTAACTTAAACCCCCTAGAAATTTTGGAGGAAACTTCGTTTCAAATTTATAGTCTTCGATCAAATTCCTAAGAAGGGGGGCAACCTGCTCTGTAGTTGAATTCTTACCCTGCATTTGCAAAAGGTTGAATACATATGAATAGAACCTATGTAAAGAATCGATTCAACCCAGAAGCTTAAGCTAATGTGTGAAGCTACACTAATAGTTTTATATGTCTCTAACAACCTATGACCTCCACGTGAAAACAATAATAACCGTTGTGCCAAGGCTCAAATTCTAAGAAAAGAACGTTTAATATCAAATCTCCCTACTTCCTAGTTAAGGATGCCCAAAGCTATATGTATTTGAAAAATTATAAGGGTAAGATTGCTATAATTGATCTTCACCTCTACCCTTTGCAAGTGAGGGAGCCTTGTGCCTGGGATTTATCCTTTTTTTTATCCAACTACAGAATCTGCTGCCATTTCCATTTCACAATGTAAGATAAGTTCAGAGTCACTTTCCTCCTCACAAAACTCATCATCATCAACTTCTGGCACATAGCCAGCTCGCTTCATCTGATCTGTGAGAATTTTCAAAACTAAATAGATGTCCTTCTTAAAAGGGTGCCTTTTATCTTTCACCATGAAAACATGCACACGACTCTGAATTTCAATCCAACTGCAACCAGGTTGCTTAATTACTCCTCGTTGCCTCATCTGTTTCCGGACTCTTACCACATCTTTCCATCTACCAAGCTCAGCATACATATTTGAAAGAAGAACATAAGGTCCAGAGTTCAAGGGATCAATTTCTAAGAGCTTTTCTGCCACATACTTCCCTAATTTAATGTTCCCATGAACCTTACAAGCAGCAAGTAAAGATCCCCAGACAACAGCATCAGGCTGCATTGGCATTTCCTGTATCAAATTGTTTGCTTCATCAAGGCAACCAGCCCGACCGAGTAAATCAACCATGCATGTATAATGGTCCTTCACTGGTGATAAACCATGCTCAGTCCTCATTGACTTGAAGTAATGACGTCCTTCTTCAACAAGTCCTGCATGGCTACATCCAGTTAGAACTCCTATCATAGTAACATGATCTGGTTTTTCTTTAGAATCCAGCATTTTCCTGAATGTTTCAAGGGCCTCTGTACCATAACCATTTTGTGCATATCCCACTATCATGGCATTCCATGAGACATTATCCCTTTCTACCATGTGGTCAAAAACCAGGCATCCATCTTCAACCAATCCACATTTCATGTACATGTCAATGAGAGAATTCCCCACAAAAATATCAGATTCTTCTCCAGACTGGAACCAAAACCCATGCTTCAAAATGTGAGTATGAGCCTGTCTACCAAGCTTCAGATCAGCCAGATTTGCACATGCATTAAGTAGATTCCCAAAGGTGTAATGGGTTGGCCAGACGGATTCCCTCTTTAGGAGGAGGAAAAGTCTTACTGCTTCTTCATTCTCTCCATTTTGTGTATAACCTGCAATAAGGGCATTCCAAGACACCACATTCCTCTCCATCATGTTTGAAAACATCAATCTCGCGGCTTTCACACTTGCTGCCTTTGCGTAGCCACTAACCATGGAGGTTTCAGACACCACATCCCTAAGTGGCATCCTATCAAAAACCAGTCTAGCTTCATTAACTCTGCTGCATTTTGCGTACATATCAACCAAAGCATTGCCTAACACAAGGTCTTTCCGGAATTTGTCCCATTTCACAACACGAGCATGAATTTGCAAACCTTCCCTAATTGCTGACAAGCTTGCACAAGCACTAACCACACTGGCTAGAGTAATCTCATCAGGTTCAATCCCACTATTCATCATCCTTACAAAAACCTCTAGAGCTTTTCCCGCTGGACCATTTTGCTCATAGCATGTAATCAAACTGTTCCAAGAAACTATATTTCTCACAACCATGCAATCAAAAGCCCTTTGAGCACAGTCCACAACCCCACACTTAGAGTACATATCAACAAGAGCAGAACCCATGTAAACATCTGATGAGTAATGAGACTTTGATATCAAAGCATGGATTTGAACGCCCATATTCAAGTCTGTCAACCCTGCACAAGCACTAAGAGCACTCCCAAACGAATACTCATTTAGCATAAAATTCTCATGGTGCATATCAACAAAGAATTTCAAAGCTTCCTCAAAGCGATCATGTTGGGCAAAACCTGAGACCATGGCATTCCACGAGCATTGATCAGGCTCCGGCATCCACTTAAAGAAGTTCAAAGCCTCATCAAGACCCCCTGACTTTGTCAACGCGCTTAATATTGCGTTATAACTGAAAGTGTTCCTCTGGGGCATATGATCAAACACCTTGCGTGCGTCCTCCAAACAACCGCATTTCGCATAAACATCAACGAGCCTGTTCTGAATAAAGATTTCAGAGGAAAACTGCGTCTTAATGATTCGAGCGTGAATGCGACGTGCGTCAAGTCCAGACTTGTATCGAACGCAAGAGTCCAATAGCTTCGCGAAGGGTGACGAGTCGAGGAAAGAAAGGTCACCGACCACCTTTTGGACAAACCCATGTCTACCCATTCCATAACCTTCGAGAAAGATCCTTAATTTCTAAGGGTGGGTCCCATTACCTGAAGCGAAAGATCCTTAATTTCGAAGGGTGGGTCCCGTTAACTGAACCTCAAACTCGTGTTGTCCTTGTTGATTAACGATTTAACTCAGAGAAAGCCAGGTGGCCATGCTTCCCAGTGTTATTGGTTCGTCCATTGAAAATTGCTCATCCCTGATTTCCAAGTGTATCACTGCGAAAAGCCTGAAGCTTGGCAATGCCGTGCACTCTCACCTAATCAAAACCGCGCTTTTCTTCGACCCTTTCATTGCCAATGGTCTCATAGACGCGTATTCCAAGTGCGGCTGCGTAGAAAGTACCGACAAGGCATTTGGTGATTTTCCCAACAAGACCACGCGTTCGTGGAACACGCTGCTCTCGTTTTACTCGAAATTAGGTCTTTTCGATAAGGCTTATAACCTGTTCGATAAAATGCCTCAACGGAACCTCGTCAGCTATAACTCGCTCATCTCCGGTTCCACGCGCCACGGGTTTCACAAAGAATCGGTTAAGCTGTTTCGGGTAATGCAAAAAAGTTCTGATCGCTTGATGTTAGACGAGTTCACGCTTGTTAGCGTAGTTGGAAGCTGTGCTTGTTTGGGTAACGTTAAATGGTTGCGTCAGGTTCATGGGGTGGCTTTTATAGTTGGCATGGAGTGGAATGTGATTCTTAACAACGCTTTAATTGATGCTTATGGAAAATGTGGGGAACCAAATTTGTCGTGTTCAGTGTTTTGTTGGATGCCAGAGAGAAATGTTGTGTCTTGGACATCAATGGTTGTGGCTTGGACTAAGGCATCAAGATTGGATGAGGCTTGCAGGATATTTAACGATATGCCAGTTAAGAACACAGTTTCTTGGACTGCTTTGATCACGGGTTTTGCAAGAAATGGGCAATGTAATGAAGCTTTGGATCTTTTTAGGCAAATGCTGGAAGAGGGGGTAAGGCCTAGTGCTCCAACTTTTGTCATTGTTCTAGATGCTTGTGCAGATGAGGCTCTTATAGGAAGAGGTAAACAGGTGCACGGTCATATTATCAGAGGTAGCAATAGTGACAACTTGTTTAATGTGTACATATGTAATGCTTTAATTGACATGTATGGAAAGTGTGGAGATATGAAATCAGCTGAAAATTTGTTTGAGATGACAACTATGAGGGATGTAGTAACTTGGAATACATTAATAACTGGGTTTGCACAAAATGGTCATGGGAAGGATTCACTAGCAGTCTTTAGAAGGATGATAGAAGCCAATGTAGAGCCTAATCATGTGACATTTCTTGGGATGCTATCTGCTTGTAGCCATGCAGGTTTAGATAATGAAGGGTTAGAATTGCTGGAATTGATGGAAAGGCAATATGGACTCAAGCCTAAACCTGATCATTATGCTTTATTAGTTGATTTGCTTGGGAGGAAAAACAGACTCAAGGAAGCCATGGTTTTAATTGAGAAAGTGCCTAATGGAATTAGGAATCACATTGCTATGTGGGGTGCTGTCTTGGGTGCTTGTCGAGTTCACGGGAACTCGGACCTTGCTAGCAGGGCTGCAGAAGCTTTGTTCGAGTTAGAACCAGAAAATACGGCTAGATATGTTATGCTATCGAACATTTATGCTGCATCTGGCAAATGGGTTGATGCCAATAGAATTAGAACAGTTATGAAGGAGAGAGGTTTGAAGAAAGAACCAGCTTGTAGTTGGATTGAGTTAAGGAATGCAAGACATGAGTTTGTAGCCAAAGACAAGCTCCATCCACAGATTGGAGAGATACATGAAGTAAATAGTAAACTAGTTGATCATCTGAAGGATGCTATATATCATATTGATCTTCCTGATGAGGATGGTGGTTAGGTCAGCCTTCACAGCTACATAGATCAGAAGTCTCAGTCAGAATGTAACATGTCACATTGGCATTAACTAGCATCTCCTTTTCAATTGTGTTTAAATTTCATCCGAGGGATATAAATATGAAATCATTTGATCAACTTTGGCCATTAATTTGCATACATCAGAATTATGAATGATCACTGCAAGCATTCAATCCATATGAATCAGTAGTTTATGTTATCTTAAACCCTCAAACCTACCAGAAGCTTAATGAATTATTTGTTTCATGTCAATTTTATCCCCCTACTTAGTAGGCCCTCATGATCAATCGCCGGCTATTGTATAGAATTGTGTCATCAAAATAAAATTATCCAGGTTTTCGGTCCTTAGTTGACTCTTGGACACAACAGAGTAGACCTTTTAATTTTAAGTTTAAACTAACCACGGTGTGAAGGTTCTTCAATTTGATAACAAGCTTATGGTCAATGGGGACCACAATACTTTGAAACTCATAGTCAAGGTTGTCCCCATCGTTTTTAGTCTTTGATAAAAGAATAACTGATTTTCTTAGAAACTTCCTGTAAGAACGTGATTCTAGAAGCCTGAGTCACCCTAATGTAAGCTTTGATGTTACTAAATTTGTTCCCACTCAAAGCCAGTTCAGGCATCAGCTACAATTATAATTGAAGGCTTACTAGATAAATGTTTATAAATATTTTGTGAGGAACTGTTCTTAAATTACCAACATCCCGGTTTTCCGCGCGAAATCTCTGGTGCTAACCTATACCACTACGATCTCTAACATGTAGAGACATACACGCAGAGATTAATGCTGAAAATGTTCAGAACAAAAGACCAGAACAAACCACGAAACACGTGGAGACATAGGTTGTTTAAGCTTAATTAGTGTCTCGAGTTTGAGTTTTCGGTACCAACTATGTTAAAAATTTTAGTAAATTGTAGGGGTGTAAATGGATCAAACTAGGGGTATTCGCGGTCTGGATTGGATCGGTTTTGGAAGCAAAAATTATCCGATCCAATCCTTTCGGTTTGATCATATAATCATCCATTCGGTTTTGATTTTTTTTCAAATCCGATCCAATCCAATTTTTTTCGGTTTGGATTGGATCGGTTTTCGGTTTTTTGAAAAATCCTAAAATTTATTTCATGATTATTGTGTAAATAACATCTTTTGTATATATTGGCTTTGTAAAAAAAAAATTTGAAATACAAAAGCATTAGTAAACTATAATATAATTTTTTTAATTTTGGCAATGAGATATGAAGCTCTACAAAGATAAAATTTTGTTGAGGAGATATAACTAGATTTTTTCTTAGGTTTAGTTTATGGGTTAATGAGTCTTGAGTTTAGAAATTTTTAGACTATGATTACAGAAATACCCAAGTAGGTAGAGGAAAATTAATATATTGGATCGGTTTGGATTGGATCGGTTTTCATCAACCCATCCAAAAACCGATCCAATCCAATTAAAATTTGCGGTTTTTAATCGGTTTTCGGTTTTTCGGTTATTGGTTTATTCGGTTATCGGTTTTTCGGTTCGGTCACCGCGGTTTGAATCGGTTTGGATCGGTTGATGAACACCCCTAGATCAAACGACTGATCATGGGCTTATGGTCCGGCTTATATAAAATCAGATTTAACTTATTATATCTAGTAAAATAAAATGAGGTCAAGTTTTTTAAAAAACTTATTTAGAAAGCAAATCATATGCTTTTTTACAAGACTCAACCAATAAACTTATGGGCTAGCCTATATCGTATTATTTATTTTAAATAAAATTATTGTTTAAATAATTTTGAATAATAAAATAATGAGGTAGGATCCTTTGACACCGGTGTCAAATTTGAAAATTGACACCTCATCTGAGAGCCGTTATATAAAAAAAAATCAATGGTGTCGCATGCTTACAAATCAGAGCCATTGATCTTTTTTGATCTAACGGCTCTCAGATGAGGTGTCAAATTTTAAATTTGACACCGATGTCAAAAGATTCTACCTCTAAAATAATATTATTTTAATTATTTTTTAAATTCTTAAATGCTTAATAGGCTTAAACAAGCCTGAACCAAATATTTTATTTTTAAAATAAAGACCACTCGAGACATATAATTTAGCCTACTCTAAGTTAACAGATGAAATTTAAAATATTTTATATATGACTTATTTAAGGCAAAATTTGAGCCCATTTACACTCTTATATCCGGCTCAACTGATTTAATAAATTAATTCATGGAGAAATCGTTTAAATAAAAGAAGACTAGAACATGGACCTAATAATAACGTGAAAAATAAGCACCCTAGTTTTTCTCAAAAGACTATTTGAAGGAGATGGATGTGGAAAATGAGTATTCTGACCATTTACTTTTACTCCCATCCAAGACGGCAACGACTTGTGACTCACAAATTCCATCAAGAAAAAGACATTGACTTGATTTTCATATGATAATGTAAACCTTCCTTCCCGTTCTCTCCTACTCAAAACCACGATCACCTTTCTCTTTTCACTCATCTCTCAAACCATGAGCTCAACCTTCCAAGCACATACTCATCACGAGAGTGAAGGAGACAGGGAATTCACTTTCTGGGGTTCATCAAATACCTTAACCTCTGAAAATGATTGTGATCAACTTGGAAACAATGAAGCAAGGCTCAACAGCCAAGCAGAGTTTGGAGAAACATACATAAGAAAAAATCTTAAATTTGAGCATCATTGTTCAAGAGTTTCAGACCCTTCACGGAGCAAAGCTATTGCAGAAGGAAGGAAGGAGCTTATGGAGATGATGCAAGACATGCCTGAGTCTAGCTACGAACTCTCTTTCCAAGACATGGTGGTGGATGAGAAACAAGTGCAGCAACCAGAACCAGATCAAAATGAAACTTCGATCAACAATAAACTCATGCTAAGTAGTAGTAGCAATAAATCTCAACCCAAGACGCTAAACAAGAAGAAGAAAAACAAAGATAGACCTGGTAAGATATTGCGGGTTGAAAGCATGGATAGTGAAACCTTCTTCCTGAAGATGTTCTTTCCAACTTCTCTTGATTGGATGAAGAAGGGTAGAGTGCAGAATGGCTCCAAGGTTTCTCCAAGACAATCATTGCAAGAACCCGTAAAACGAGAAGGTAAAGAATGGAGAATTAAAAGATTCTTCCTAGCAGGAAACAACAAAGGCGATGCTGAAGATGGCTGTGACAAAAGCAGGTAGATAAGGAATTTTCCTCAGAAAAATCTATATTAGATGATGATGATGTTGTAGTTCAATGACCAATGAAAATGTTGTCAGAGGAATATAAAAACTACTAAAAAGGCCATCACAATGAATTAAACTTTTGAGTTGAATTGATTTTTTATATAGTTTTAGAGGCTTCGTGACCACAGATACCAGCGTGATGCATTATTCACCTTTCAAACCTTAACGGCTTATGAGAAAGCCATAAAATAAAGTAGAAATCAACGCAGTCTAAATGGAACAAATTTGCAGTAGTAAATATCATCTATTAACAGATATTTTATATTTTTTTGCATTTTGTTACTAGGTATGTTGATCGCAGCTTCTCAATCTCACATGGTTGCTGGCCATTTTTTCATCATATTAAAAGCAAAACAAAGAAATTGGGAGGATGAATTACTTTAAATATGGTTACTTTTGTTCCTTTGGAAGCGTTGGGTGCCATAGGAATTCACAACAGCAGAAAATGCGAAATAGAGGATTCAAGGCTTGAAGAATTGCAGAGGCAGACACTACAAGTTATTCTTGAATTCCTATTGGTTTGGATAGTTGTTATGGCATTCATTTGCATGTTTGAATAAAATAATTTATCTTATCATGTTATGGGAAAGATGTTGGGGCACTGTCCATGGCGTGTAGTTTAAGCCACAAGAACCTATATGCTTCTTTCACTGTATCAGCTAAATATTTGTTAGTTAAAAAACCATAACCTCGTTAGAATGAGTCAAGGAAGCATACAGATTAGGACATTTACCTAATCTTGATTCAAATGAAATGTTTCTTTAGATAATGCATTGTATATGTGGATTTTCTTTTAAAAAAATTAAATTTAAATCAACTTTGCAAGTATTCTACTTTAATATGACTTGAAAAAGGGTTATGAAATATTATTGATTTTTATTTGAATCTGTACATAGGGGTCTCTATTTATATAGACTTCTTGACCTAATTTTGACATAATGGGCTTGGCCCAATATACAAGTAACGGACTAAATAAATACAAATAAATGACTACATAATTACTAATAAATGACTACATAATTACTATTTACAACACTCCCCCTCAAGCTGAGGAATAGATATTTATCATTCTCAGCTTGCTAGCAAGTTCTTGAAATCTATCTGAAGGAAGCCCCTTTGTCAATAGATCAGCTAATTGACGCCCAGTGGGAATGTATGGAGTGGTAATCAACCCGCTATCAAGTTTCTCTTTGATGAAATGGCGGTCGACCTCAATATGTTTAATCCGATCATGTTGAACTGGATTATGAGCTATACAAATAGCGGACTTATTATCACATAGCAGCTTCATAGGTCCCTCACATTTTATTTTAGATCATCAAGTACAATTTTCAGCCACAGTAACTCACAAATGCCTTGAGCCATAGCTCGAAATTCAGCTTCTGCACTTGATCTGGCGACCACATCTTGTTTCTTACTTCTCCATGTCACCAAGTTACCACAAAGAAACATGCAATAACCAGTGGTAGAACGACGGTCAATCACGGATCCAGCATAATCAGCATCTGTGTAGACTTCTAAAGATAGATTGCTATCACGTCGGAATAACAACCCTTTACCAGGAGTACCTTTCAGATACTGAAGAATTCTCTCTACTGCCTGCATATGTTTCTCCTTTGGATCGTGCATAAACTGACTGACAACACTAACAGCATAAGCTAAGTCTGGTCTAGTATGGGCCAAATATATCAATTTCCCAACTAGCCGTTGATATTGTCCTTTATCAACTGGAGGACTCTCCTCTTCATAGCACATCTTGTGATTCTGCTCAATAGGAGTATTAGAGGGTTTACACCCGAGCTTTCCTGCTTCTTTGAGAAGATCAAGAACATATTTCCTCTGGCTGATAAAGATTCCTTTGCTCGAATGAGCTACTTCTATCCCTAGGAAATATCTCAGTTTCCCAAGGTCTTTGACTTCAAACTCAGAGGCAAGCCGTGTTTGCAGAATCTGTCTCTCCACAAAATCATCACATGTGATAATAATATCATCAACATATACAAGGAGCACAGTAAGCTTCCCATTTTAGGAGTGCTTGAAAAAAAGAGTGTGATCTCCTTGACTTTGTTTATATCCTAAGGTCATCATAACCTTAGTAAACTTTCCAAACCAGGCACGAGGTGACTGCTTCAATCCATACAAGGCTTTTTTTAATTTACAAACTTTATTTTCTCCCTTCACAGAATCAAAACCAGGCGAAATTTCCATGTAGACTTCTTCTAACTCACCATTGAGGAAAGCATTCTTCACATCAAATTGGTTTATATCCCGATTGTAATGGGCAGCAAGGGATAACAAAACTCTCACTGTATTCATCTTTGCAACTGGAGCAAATGTTTCTTCATAATCAATGCCATAGGTTTGAGAGTAACCTTTGGCAACTAATCGAGCTTTGTATCTCTCAAGAGTTCCATCAAAATTATATTTTAGGGCATAAACCCATCTGCACCCTACTGCTTTCTTTCCAGTAGGTCTATCAATAACCTCCCATGTTTTATTTTTCTCCAATGCATTCATCTCCTCTTGCATGGCTTGAGCCCAATTCCCATCTTTCAAGGCTTCATGTACTGATTTTGGGATTGCAATATAGTCTAGTGCTGAAACAAAGCTTTTGTGCTGCACAGACAGATTAGCAGAGGAAACAAAATGGGAGATAAGGTATTGAGTACAAGAGGAACAAGATTTCTTGGGACATGATCTTTTTCCTTTTCTAAGAGCAATGGGTAAATCATCAGAATCAGTAGTAATGGGTAAGTCATCAGAAGTATCATGATCAGAAATATGAGATTCAGGACTTACCAGTGGTTCAGACGATTGAGGTTGCTGCTGAGGCAATGTGGGCTGTGTATCAGTCATAGGAGGATCAATCACAGGAGGATCAGACATAGACACATTGGGAACAGGAACAAGAGGAAGAGACACTGACTCAGGTGAAGGAGTAGACACTGAAGATTCAAATTCAAAGAAGGAAGGTGATGAGTCTTCTAGTGAATTATTCTCCCCCTGAAGATGAGGACCTTGGAAAAAGGACTCAGATTCCTGAAATGTAACATCCATAGAAACAAAAAATTTCTGACTACCAGGGTGATAACACTTGTAGCCCTTCTTACAGGAGCATATCCAAGGAAGACACATTTAAGAGCCCTAGGATCCAACTTACTGCGATGCTGTTTATGAATATGAACAAAGACAACACACCCAAACACTCGAGGAGGAAGACTTTGCAAAGTTGGAACAGAAGGAAAAAAATAAGTCATGGAGTGAATAGGACTTACATGATCGAGAACCCGAGTGGGTAGACGGTTGATCAAGAACGCTGCAGTAAGAATGGCATCTCCCCAATAGCATTTGGGTACATGTGTTTGAAACAGTAAGGCACGAGCATCTTCAAGAAGGTGACGATTTTTTCTTTCAGCAACCCCATTTTGTTGAGGGGTGTCTACACAAGTAAGTTCATGAATCATACCTTGATTTCGTATAAATTGGGAAAAACTGTGATTAACATATTCAGTACCATTATCTGTTCTTAATCTCTTGATTTTTCTACCAAATTGGGTCTCAACCATTTTATAAAATTGAAAGAACAGATGTGGTACCTCAGACTTTTCATGCATTAAGTAAACCCAAGTTACACGAGTGCAATCATCAATAAAAGAAACAAACCATCTATTTCCATAAGCATGAGGGACTTTAGAAGGACCCCAAACATCAGAATGAATAAGATCAAAAGGTTCAACACTCTTAGTACTACTAGAAGGAAAAGACACACGATGATGCTTAGCAAACTCACAAATATCACAATGAAAAGACTCAACAAGCTTAGATAAAAACAATGACGGAAATAAAGACTTGAGTAAACCAAATGGAGGATGTCCCAAGCGCTTATGATGAAGCCAAATCAAAGAATCAGCAGTTGATTGACCATGAGACATCAAGATGTGATCTGTTACTTTATTTGCGGGAGATTGTGACACCAGATAGTACAGCCCACCTTGCTCTTTAGCACTACCAATCGTCTTCCCCGTGGCGAGATCCTGAAAAACACAATGGGTAGGGAAGAAGGTTACAGTACAATTTAGATCTTTTGTAATTTTATGAATAGAAAGAAGATTCGTGGAGAGTTTAGGAAGTGAAGAGCATCTTTAAGATGTAAGGACTGCTGTAAGTTTATGTCACCAGAACCCGTAACTGATGTATGTGAGCCATCAGCTATGGCTATAGTATGAGTTCCAATGGTAGGATGATAAGAAGCAAAGGAGTCAGCACAACAAGCCATATGATCAGTAGCACCAGAATCAACAACCCAGGAATGTTTAAAATTATTACATGAAGAAAGGAAAGAATGAGTTTTGGGGCTCATACCAGTCAAAGCCAAAGCACTAGTATCAGATGGCTTACTCAGATAATCAAGGATGGTTCGGAGCCGTTCTAACTCATCTAGACGAAATGCAGGTTGGGTCTCATTAGGTGCAGGAGTTATTCCAAAGGAAGTAAAATGCGCTTGACCACGCATCCTTGCCATCTTTTCTAAGACAGCTTGCTTTCCATGGAGGCGAAATCATAAATCCTTGATATGACCTGTTCTTTTACAATAAGAACACCATCGATCATCTCTCTTAGGTTTAGAAGATGCACCATCATAAAACTTTGTAAAGGAACTCCTTTGAGAAGAGGTCATACTGCACAAAAAACAGTCAAAGAAAAAGGCTCTAAGAAGCCAAAAAATTCGGAAAAAAATACCAAACGATGTCCGATCTGAGAAAACAACACAGATCCAGAAAGAGAACAAGGAGACGAGAAGAATGGTGGTGGTCCGGTCCAAAAACACCGCCGGACGCGCCTCCACGCGCCGGAGAAAGCAGCTGCGCGTGGGCTTCACTCGCGGACAAAGAGGCGGCGCGTGAGAGCGCGTGGCAAGGCTTCTCCGGCTGAAATTTTTCCGGTGTGGTCGTCCGGTGAGCGCGCACCTGTCTGTGGGTGGTTGCGGTTGAAAAGTCACCGGAAAGGCTTCTAAACGGTGAAGACAGAACTGGTTGAAGGCGGTCGGAGGTGTTTGGGTCGTTTGTGGCAGAGGAACGTTGCGTAGAATGATAGAACGAAAAAAAAAGAAGGTCAACAGTGGTCCCCTTGGTCGAAAAGGTCCCCAGAAAATTTTTTCCGGTGGCGGCTGATGGAGGGAAGAGGCAAAGAAATTAGGGTTTTGTAAAAAAAAAGACAATAGGCGCGGAAGCAGAGCCCTCAGGATCGAGAGCTCTGATACCAACTTGAAAAAGTGTTATGAAATATTATTGATTTTTATTTGAATCAGTACATAGGGGTCTCTATTTATAGAGACTTCTTGACCTAATTTTGACCTAATGGGCTTGGCCCAATATACAAGTAACGGACTAAATAAATACAAATAAATGACTACATAATTACTAATAAATGACTACATAATTACTATTTACAACAATATGTTAATTAGAGAACAGTATATTGAAAAAGATTTAAATCAACTTAAACAATAACGCCTGTTATCCATAATTTTTATTAAAAATTTTAAATATATTTATTTCAAAATTAATTATTCCATTTTTTCATAATTTTAATATATATTTATTTTTTTGGTAAACCAACTCTTTTCTCAAACTTCACTCTTTGAGCGGTTATAAAATTAATTATAAGTGGGGACTTAATACCAATTAAAGTTATTTGCACCTCATAAGTTGAGATTTAATAACAGTTAAAGTTTTTTGCACCTTCCCAAGTTCTATATGAAAATCAAACCTAAATTCTCTTCTCACTTATTATGTATTGTAAATTGAACTATATCAATAGGTAATCTATATTTTTTAAGTTCTATATGAATCAATTATATATCTCTATCCTCACAACGATGGTTGCCAGTTGTAATGTATAAGTACGTCAAGAGACAACACATACATATTTATTGTACCGTAACACATTAGTTAATTGTCATGTAGAATACACACACTTAAGAATCTAAATTAATGTTATAGAAAAAATTTACCATAATAAATGTTAGGCTTTGTTTGGTCCTGTTGCAGCAAAATATTTTTTTTCCTACAACAGAAAACGACAAGTAAAATAAAAAAAATTAAAATTAAAAGAGACAAATTTTATTTTGTCGATAGTCTTGCATGATAGGAATCTTATTCCTATAACATAATTGTTATTAATCCCATAAATGTTATAATATCACTGTAGAGATTCAAATTTTATGTGGCAAGTCATGTTTTGATTGAATTCCTCTAAATAATGACTCATTAACCAATTATTTGAAAGAATTCTTGACAAGAGTGTATGCGCATGAATTTCCTCTTTTTCTTATTAACAACATTTATAATACATGGTTATAAATACAAAATCCCTTCAAATTGGCCTTTCAAAACCAAATTGAATAAGCATATTCCAATCCCTAAACATTTTACATGTGTCAGCCTGAGTCTAAGCATCTTCTTCATCTTTTGTTTTTCCTCTTGATGGGTTAAGAGAGGAATAAGAGGAAGAAGTGCCTAATAAACTAAGACACAGCCTATATCTGAGCAACAAGTAGTTCATTCCAGGTATCTGGGATTCCAGGTAGGCACCAATGCAAACAGTCACTAGAATTAGAAATTCCACTACTAGTATAGCGAGACATGTGAGCCTCATCCCTCAACTGTGATATAGCAGTTATATCCAGCATCTTAATCTTTGTACCATTCAGTGCACCCTCAACAATTGGATCACTAGAAGATCCTTCTTGCACAACCTCACTTCCACCCCTTAATGGGACAGTGTTATCACAGCTGCCACCACTGTTCCAATCCCCATTGGCAAAATGCCTAGGCGATAAAGTCCTAAAGAAAACTTTGAGTCTAGGATGTGAAACAAGTTGTGAATCAAGCCATCTAACTACATTGTATACAGTAAAGTTCTTGGCATCTACAACTTCTCTAAACTGTTTATCTTTACTTGGCTTTCCATCAACATGCATTACCCAACGGTTTGCATTAAGCTTACCCTGGTTCCAGTGGTGTCCTGTATTAAGAACCAAAACATCAAACTTATAGAGGAACCTTCTTAGGAATGCAGAGGGGCGATCTAAATGCATGGCAATGTTGGTAAGTGGGTCTGTGATGTTAAGAGGCTCAAGATCACATAAACTAGCTGACCAATAATATAAGATGGTGGTATTAGTCTTTGGAAATGTGTAAGCCCAGCCATCAGGACGAATAGCTCCACGTGCTTTTACAAGACCATATTCCCATCCAACATTTTCAACCTCAGGGCTCTCATCTCCACCAGTGACCATACACATCAGAGATTGAAATTGTTGCCGGCCCAATGAATCTCCTATGAATGCAATTGTTTTGTTCTGCATCCTATATTCCAATATGAACATTAAAAACTATGACAAAATTACTATAAACAGATGTTCACCGAATTCTATTTTTTAACCAAAAGAGAAAGACAAGGAAATTAAGAACTTTGTTTTAACAAAAAAAAAAGGCATGGATGGAAAAATTCAGGGTCTAGTTGTCAAAATAATACATGGGATGCTATTCATGTTAACTGGGAAGTAGATAACTGAGCAAGTCATGTACACTGAATAAACATAGCAACTAGATGATAATGTTAAAATATATATATTAACAATTTGATCAAAGAAAAAGAAAAGATTATACCTACTTTCTCAAGAACGCAGATGGGTCAAACTCTGGCACATCATAATTTTCTGGCTGCCAGCGGTATCCTTCAAACAAGAAATTTGGTCTCTGTGTAAGCCTGCATGACCACATTGGGGATAACCATTGTTTACAGCCAAACCCAGAATACAGTGGTCTCCTTGTGTCTGCAACCCATCTACCCTTGGCATAATTACAGACTGCAAAAGAGAAATCTTATCAAATACCAACTCTGCAAGGCTTAATCATACACAAACTGGAAAAAAAGGGAACGTATACTCTGCAGAATATTTTGCAAATTTTTGGGTGCGTTAGTTTGAAGCCTTCTGGCAGCTATCCATGTATTAATGAACCGGTTACTATAAAGGGTTTCTGTTTTTCTTTTAATTTATCAAAAAACTTCTACAAAATAAATAAAATTGTATCTCAAAGTTAACGATTTTAAAGAGGACTTCAACAACTAAGCTATCATGTTGCCAAAAAATAGGCTGGGCTAAATTCATGGTGGCTATTTACGAAGATGCTGCTGAGAACGGTATTGGGGAGTGATATGCATTCAGCATATAAAGAAATCTAAGCCAAAAAGAGAAAGGATGTTGATTAAATCTTAAGCAAAAAGGACAATAATCACTGTTGATCTGTCAAAATCTTAATCAGAGATTGCATATTGATTTTATGTTGATTTTGTAGGAAAAACAGACAAACTGGAGCTAAAAAGGAAAAAGCTAACCTGAAGGCCCACGCTCATAGCGTGGGTATGACGCTCACAGCGTGAAGGGAGCTCTTTCACACAGAGGCATCCACGCTACTAGCGTGGGACTCACGCTAGTAGCGCCAGAGATCAAATTCAGGCAGAAGCTACCACGCTACTGGCGTGGGAACCACGCGAGTAGCGCCAGACCCTCAAAAAGCCCACGCTTGCAGCGTGGAAACCACGCTAGTTGCGTGGTGCTCCAGGATTATAAAGAAAAACTCTCACGCTCACAGCGTGGTAACCACGCTAGTGGCGTGGGAGGTGCGGACAATCAGCATTAAATCCTTTTTTAAATCAGAGACAAGATTACATTGAGATGCGGAAAAGATTAGATCAAGATTCTCCACCAGGTCAAAGACTCTATAAATAGAAACTCAGACCTCAAGAGAAAAACACACTTTTGCACGGGAGAAATTGCGAGCAACAGGAATCGGAGCGAGCTTTCGGTGCCTAAAGAATCAAGATTTCTTCTTCCATTCTTTCCGGTTATTTTTAGTTTTATGGATTCTTTTGAATATTTGTTTTTGTCAGACATGAATATGTCTGGCTAGTCTTTTTATATTGTGGTAAGGGTCACAACCCTTGATGTGAACCCCTTGTATTTTGGCTAAGTTTATGGTTAATTATTCAATTGAATTTATTTTACTCTGTTCTTCATCCATAATTCTTTTAGAATTCGCGACTCTATTAGGATTGCGAGGGTTAGGGTTTTCAATAGGAATATTGGGATTCTAATTCCTGACAAAGGGTAATATAACTGTTCATGTATGCACTAGGGATAGGCTATATGAACTGCAAATGTGGAAAATTCATTGGGCTTAAAGATTAACTTGAAAAGGGATTTCTAAGGGATTAGGATTCTAATAGGGTTAATAAGGTTAAGATCACTAAGGGATTAGGGCTTAACTAATTAACTATAGATGGTGAATTGTTTGATCAATTGGGTAATTAAATATAAATATTAATCAAGATTACAAGGTGGGGATCGGAAAGGTGTTGGAGTCCTTTACTGCAATAGTTTTTCTTTATATTTTTCTCAAACTCTCAATCTTTTACTTTAAGTTCTCAAACTTCTTTTTGAATTGTTCACGAAATATTAAATAGTTCACAATTGTCACAACACAATTACTTCAAAAACCTCTTTTTGTTAAATCCAATAAGAAAGGAATTGTTAAAATTAAATCTGGTGCATCAATCCTCGTGGGACGATATTCTTACTCACTTTTCTTACTTGGTACGATCGGTGCAATTGTCGATTTTACGCAACAAATTTTTGGCGCCGTTGCCGGGGATTGACTACGCCTAATTTATTTTTAACTTTTGAATTTCTTTATTGGATTTTGTTACAAATCTTTTTGCTACAGTTTATGTGAGGTAAAGTTCATCGAGATTCCTTACAGTTTGATCCAGAAATCGAGAAAACTGCAAAGAAAAATCGGAAGCAAGCCAAGCAAAGAAAGCAAGAAGAATCTTCAGGTTCAAAGCCGCACAAAGAATTAGTGATGGTAGCTAATAATCAGCCTCCGCCTCCTCCACCACCTCCAGCGGAGTTGATGGAGTCAATTCTGGCTCCTATGTTCACAAGGCCGAACTCCAGTGTTGTCCGGCCAGAGATAGAGGCCAACAATTTTGACATCAACCCGTCTCTGATTAACCTGGTGGAGAAGAACCCTTTCAGAGGAGAGGATTACGAAGATCTTCACGACTTCATGGACAAATTTCTGAGAATCTGTGACACTACCAAGCATCATAGAGTGTCTGACGATGCCATTAGACTCAGGCTGTTTCCCTTTGCTTTGACCGAAAAATCCCTCAGATGGCTAGACCGACAAGCCCCTAACAGTATCCGAACATGGGACGATCTAGCAGCTAAATTCTTTGCTGAGCATTTTTCGCGGGAAAAGTACAACAAGTTGGTGAACGAGATCACCAACTTCATTCAGCAGCCGGGAGAGACGCTCTGTGCAGCCTGGATGAGATTCCAGGAGTTGATCAGAAAATGCCCTCAATATGACTTCCCATATGAGAAGAAAGTCAGAGTCTTCTATAATGGGATGACACCAGAAACCAGGATGGTTGTCAATGGAGCAGCCGGTGGAACCATCGGTAAGAAGACAACAGCTGAGACCCTGGAACTGATTGATTACATGGCACAGAACGATAATGCTTCGACATAAGTTCATCCAGTTCAGCCCACTCAACCCAAGAGGGGAATTCTACAACTGGGAAACAATGATGCATCACTAGCTGAGCAAAAGATGATCTCACAACAGCTAGCCAGTCTGAACGCCAAGCTAGATAGAATGCAGATCTCATCTAAAGTTAATGTATTCAACTGTGAGTACTGCAAAGAGCCACATGAGACTAATAAGTGCCCTACATTCAATGGAGCTGAACCATTCCAAGTCAATGGAGTGTGGTATGATCCAAGGCCACCACAGGATACCCAAAGTTACCAGAGAAATCAGAATGGAGGCCAAGGGAACAACTTTGAAAGGAGGAATCAAGGGAGCGACTTGGATTATAAATCCAACAACTATCTGCAACCTCCTCCTATGCCACAAAAAGAGTCATCCGAATTGGAGAAAGCGATGATACAATTGGCCAAGACCACTAATGATCACATAATTGAGACAAGAGCCTACCACAAGAACCAGGTTGCTTCCATCCGAAACTTGGAGAGTCAAATAGGCCAGTTGTCTAGGCAGTTGGCTGAAAGAGCTCAAGGACAGTTCCCAGGAGATACAATTGTGAATCCAAAGGCAGACTGCAAGTCCATTATAACCAAGAGTGGGATTGTGATCACTCCTCAAGACAAGCCAAAATTGGTTCAGCATGAGAAAGAAGAAGAAGAACCTGCCAGTGAAAAAGAAGAACCTGCAAGGCAAGACAAAGAAAAAGCAAAGGAGAAAGCTGTTGAAGCTCCAAAGCAACCGATGGATTTTTCTCGTTTTGAGAAACCTCCTTATCCTGTGAAGCTCAAGAAACAAGCACAGAAGCAACAGTATGCCAGGTTTTTAGATATGTTTAAAAAATTGCATATTAATATTCCATTTGCTGAAGCTCTTGCTAATATGCCTAACTATGCTAAATTTATGAAAGATTTTTTGTCAAGAAAGCATAAGTTGCAGGATTGTGAGACAGTAGCACTTACTGAAGAGTGCAGTGCCATCGTACAAAAAAAGTTCCCACCAAAGCTTCAAGATCTTGGGAGTTTCAACATCCCAATTGCGGTAGGCAACACTAATGTTGGCCGGGCACTATGTGATCTCGGAGCAAGCATCAACTTGATGCTGTTATCAATATGCAAGTCATTGGGAATTACTGAGTTGAAGCCAACCATGGTCTCTCTACAGCTCGCTGACCGTTCTTTGAGGAGACCTAATGGAATCATAGAAGATGTTCTTGTTAAAGTTGACAAGTTCATCTTCCCTGCTGATTTCATCGTGTTAGACATGGAGGAAGAGAGTGAAATGCCCCTTCTGTTGGGTAGACCGTTCCTGGCCACAACTCGAGCTATGATTGATGTAGAACAAGGAAAGCTCGAGTTGAGGATGAATGATGAGAAAATCATTATCAATGTTTTCGATGCTATGAAGAATCCCTCTGATCATAGTGATTGTTTCAAACTTGAAGTGTTTGAAGAGGTGGTTATGGAAGAGAAAAGTGATTATCAAGAGCTTGAAGAAGAGTTGAAGGCTCTAGATGAAGCTTCTCCAGAAGAAGAGCGAGCAACTGTCTTTGAGGTACTAGAAAAGAAAGAAGATGACTCAGCTACATTGGTACCAAAGGTGCAATTAAAAGAGTTTCCTTAAACTCTTAAGTATGCTTTCTTGGGAGACGAAGAACAATATCCTGTTATCATCAATAAGGAAGTTCATCAGCAGCATAAAGAAAGCAAGCCAAAGGTTAAGATGGAAAAGCCCAAGAGTAAGGAAAAACATGTGAAGACTAAGTTCAAAGTTCCTGAGAACTCTCTTCCTCATCCACATGCATATGATCATGGAAGGAAACAATACTGGATCAAGAAGATTGAGTCATCAATGGTAGAATGCTTCCAACCACCATAAATCACAAGGGGTATGTCAGGCTCGTGACATTAAACAAGCGCTAATTAGGAGGCAACCCAATAGTTGTTTTTCTGTTTTTATTTTATTTATTTTATTTTCTTAGGATAGTTTAATTTTTAATAAGTAGAGTAAGTGGTTAAGTGGTGAATTAGTGACCATATGGAAAAATTTTAAATCTGGGAATTAGCGCTGTGAGCGCCACAAGGCCAAAAGAGACGCACTGTGAGCGCCAATTTGGCGCTAGTAGTGCCACAAGGCCAAAAGAGACAGTGAGTTCCACGCTCACAGCGTGGTAACCACGCCATCAGCGTGGAAACCTCACGAAATACTCGCGCCCATAGCGTGAATTCCACGCTGCGAGCGCCATCAAGCAAAATGAGGCAGTGAGTTACACGCTCTTAGTGTGAAACCCACGCTGTGAGCGCCAGTTCACTGCACCATGACATTTACTTTGGCATTTTATTTTGCTGTTTTCAGTATTTATTAGTTGGTTGGATTATTTCTCCTTATGCAGTGC